TTTGCCATTCCCTTCTCCATGTGATCTTCCTGACCCAGAGATTGAACCTGGGCCTCGTGCATTGTAGGCAGATTCTTTACCATCTGAGCCACCAGGAGTGGCTTTAATCAGCAATCTAGACTGTTTGAATTTAGCTTGGAGAGTGGTAATTATAGAGAGCTTCCTGAAACTTATCATTCATGTAAATTCCAATTCTCCAAATATTGTCTTTAAAAATTAACCTACGTGATGGTCCAAGGTGATTTTATATAAATTGACATTTGAATGAAAATAGAGGGAGGGGAGTGGATTTTCTTCATTTTGTCCTTATCCAGCATTTATATCCCTCACAGATTAGCTGCTGATTGGTCCTAAAAGTGCAATATCTTTTTCTGCAATGGAAATCAATGAATGTCTTGCCCTTCTATAATTTAGTGCATCTTCCATTTTTGCCTATAAATTAGAATCAGAGGAGGGTTATTCAGATAAAGATCATTTATAAATTTGTATCTATTCTAGAGAAAGAAAGTTTTAGGAAAACATGTAATAGGAGAGGTAGAATTACAATGAAATATGTTCCCTTGAATCAGGTAGATAAATTTTTAATAAACTTTATGTTGTAGAGAAATTTTAGGTTCATAGTAAGTTGAATAGGAAGTATAGATAATTTTCCTATATCCCCTGTCAGGTAGGCATTTTTTATTAGCATGAAATACCTGTTTTTCCCATGGGCAGAAGCCAGAAGTGAAACGAGATAAAATAAATAACATACATTGGATCTTTCCATACCAACTGTAGGGAAAGAACAACTCAGCCATGATGCTGCCAGTCAGGCTCTCTTGCCCCACGCTCTCACACCTTCTCGCACAGTGTCCAGGAAATGATGACTGTGCGGTTTTGTGACAGCTGAGATCACTGATAGCGCTGTGTGTCAGCAGGCACTCACTGGGTCATGGGCTACTTCGTGTGGTACACCTGGATGAGCTTCACCACGAAAGCCCTGGCTGCTGCTGCATTGGGGTTACACTGGAGCAGCATCATGGTGATGCTATCTGAGGTTAGGTTATGGCTATGTTCTGTCTGTTGCTGTGGCTCTTGTGTCAGCCACGAGAGAGGTTGTGTTATGGCTGCCATGTCCGCCAGGAGAGAATAAGCCTGCCTGCAATTCCTACAGCTCTTTGCATCTACTTCCAGCCTCCCATCTCATGCCTTGCCTACCCTTGGTTCAGCAGAGTGCGGACAGGACAGCGTGAACAGTAAGACAGTTGGTGCTGTGAACAGGATCAGCAATACAATTGGCAGTCAGCAGAATGAGAAGCCATACAATTGTAATCGGCAGGATACCCAGCAGGTAGAGGAGCCTGAGGCTCCACAGAAGAGTCAGCAGGTAACCCAGCAGGTAGGTGATCCTGAGGCTCCACTCGATGGAGGAAACCAGTGGCCACCATATAGTATATCTTACCAGGTGGCTGAGATCCTCTCCGTGTGGGCTCCAGTGGAAGACTGGGAGGTGGTGTACAGTTCACCAGATAACACTGAAAAGGTGTTACAGATGGTGAGTTCCCATTTGCCTAAGAAGGTGACATGAACTATTGCTGGCACTGCGCAGTGGATTTTTCTGACTGCCCTGAAGGTGAATATGGATCAGTAGTGCTCTCTGTTATGCAATGCCTGCATGCTATGTGCAGAGATTCTTGGACAAGCTAGAGCGATGCATATTGGCATTAGAGCAAGAACCCCGTGGCCATGGAGAACCCAGCACTTCTGACAGTGAGGCAGTAAGTGGCGATGATGATGATGATGAACGTATGTTTAATTTCCTTTAAGTTAGTATCTATTTCCAAGTTGTGTTCATCAAATCATTCTCAAGGATACGATTATATAGGTCTTTTGTGGTTACTGTGTGTAGTAAGTTCCATTTGGGTGAGTTATGCATTGAGGGGTTAGGGGCCAAACCTCAAACCCACTGTGTCTGACTGTGGGGAGTAGACAGGCAGCCTCTGGCTCTGGGAGAAGTAAAGGACTGCAGGGAACAGAGTGGCCACTAAAGCCCTGCAGAAGCCCTGGCAGTGTGACTTTTGAGATGTGTGAATACATGTGACCTGAGGGAGTAACCCCGGGCCTTATGGTCCAGGAACATAACTTCATTCTGTCTTTGCAGTGGGCTCCCTGCACAACCGGCTCCCTGCACCTACCTGGGGGCCCCTTGATTTACTAAGATTTCACTAATCCAGAATATGAAATATAATTGAAATGAATACTGAATATGCAATATGCATTGGAAGGCATTGTTCTTAATGTTTTACATCTAATCTTCATAACAAACCACAGTGCTATTAACAACCTTGAGCTCTGGGTGAAGAAGGCAGTGTTGGGGGTGGGGTGGGGGATAAGTGATCTGTTCAAAAACTCAGGAAACAGAGCGCATTGGACCCACATCACTGGACTCCAGCACCTGTAATCTTCACCTCTGTGCCCTGAGATGATGTATAAGTCTTGGTACATTTTTTGATGAAAAATTAGTATTTATTATTAATTGGTAATTTTGACAGCTGACTTGCAAACATGAATTGTAATCATAAGGGTTATCCAGTGATTTTAGTAAAACACTGTATACTAGAAAGAAAATGAATAGTTTCAAACATCTATTACTATGGAATGAATGACTTATCTAAGTAAATTAATTTAATAAGTTTCTATTAAATGCCAGGGAATTGTATTTTCAAATTACTATTACTTTTATTTCCTTTATGAGCAGCAGCAAGGTGATTAAATAGTGATATTTCATATTAAATGATTAGAAAATTATAGTTATTTATGTATGTTATACAGCCTAACTAAAAGTGTAGAGTTTTATGATACTATAGATGATTGGCATCTACCTGTATGAACTCAGTGACTGCTAAGTCCAATTTTAGCTTGAAGGTTTTACAAACACACTCATAACATCCCCACCCCAATAGTAAACTTGATGGTGCTGGGCTATCCAGCCACCCAGACAGGCACCCAGGTGGTTCTGCAGCTACATTCCCACGAGGAGTGCGGCAGCTGGGTTGCAGTGAAGGTTGTGTCATGTCTCTCATCTTCAATTGCCATTGTTACCCATTGTTCATTGAAAGTTACCACTTTCATCTCAGGTTCAAAGGGTTTGTTAACAAAATAAGCCACTCTTTCTATATGAATGAGTAATACCAATATTTATTGAGAACTATCTAGTTTACTTTCAATATACTAACATTAAAAGAGCAAAGAAGTAGAAAGAGCAGAGGATGCATCACCAAAATGGGTTTTGATCAGCGAGTGGCATGTCTGCTTGGATCATGGACATGGCAGCTCCAGGCGCTCAGCGACGCCGCTGGCCATGGGCGCGGGGGCTATGGTGCTATTAGGGTTTTTTTTCCAGCCTCTGGCAGCTGGCCTTTGTTGTTTGGCACTGCAGGTGCTCAAAGATACCCATGGCTGTGGTCCTTCTATATTCCTCTGTGCATCACTTAAAAGGCCACCCTCTCAGAGGTCTTTCTCCGTTGGTCAGATGCCAGTGCCAGTATGTGGGGAGAGTCTGCAGTGAGGATTCCACCCCGTGCATGTGACTCAGCAGCGTTTCCCTTCCTCTGCAGCTGCCTGGCTTTCCTTCACGTGCATTCTCTGCTGAGATCACCTCCCTCACATCCCCATGATAAACAGCAGTCCTCACCCTGGGGTCGCTCTCCAATCCCTATGCTCCAGCTCCCAGCCACCATGCATACCAAGGGACTCGCGCTCCTGTCTGGAGCATGGAGGGCTGAGTCATGGATTGTCTATGTGCTCCTCACTCCGTTCAGACTGTCACGGATCAACCGCTTCCCTCTCCAGTAGCTTCAGATGTTTCTCCTCTCTCCCATACTCTTCCTCCTGTGGAGGGATCTCGGCTCTGCTTCAGCTCTTCCGCCCCCTGTCCGCCTCACTGCCCTCCGCTGTTTTCCTTCCTGCCTGCATCCTGTTGAGTTTTGTGTGGCTCTGTATATTCCTTTCTGGCGGCCAGGGGCCGCTGCCAGCTCTCAGCTGGTACTCGGGGATCTTCTGCATCTGAAGATATGTCCCTGATGCCTCTATGGAGAGAAGTACTCCATACCCGCCTGTTCCTTTCCCACCTTGCCCCACTTGAAATAACTCAAAGAGTTTCCTGAGTTATTTCCAATGATGGCAATAGTAGTTTCTGTTTATTCCTGATATTTTGCTTTTACTAGATACTTATATCTGATTCTACATAAAAATGTGAAATAATAAGTAACTAAATATATGATATAAAATTTATTTTTCTTCCTTTCTATAAAGTATATGAGCATTTTTAAATATGCAAAACCTTAGCAATAAACATACTGATATCTAATGAGAAGAGATTAGAAGGAAAAAAGGAGTACTTTGATTGTATGGTCTTGCATTATTAGTAATGAAGATTTTTACATAAAAATATGTTCTAGCTTTAATAACTTGTTGGAGCACTTTATCTTTTAATACGCTCACATGATTTTGGAAAGCCATTCCTTTCTTTGATTTCTAATTTCATTCCCAATTTCATTATTCTTTATTACTCAGTTCTAGTTTTACATAGTTTCATTTGAGATGCTTTGGTAAATTTTTGTTGCCTTGTATTTCCATTTTTGACAGCGTATATTTTCTCAAAAATTTTAAATTTAATGCTTAATACAACTTTAATATACAAGAAAAATATTTTTGCTCATTGTGCAATATTAGAAAGCATCTTCATCCTCCCTCTTCTCAAGCATGAAGCCTTTCTTTCTTCTAGAATATTTTCCAAACCTCTCCAACTAAATGTGATCTTAGATTATTCTTTTGCCCCATGGAACTCTATTTTTACATTCCTTTTTCAGTTATTATGTTGCATTCCTTAGCACATCACTGAATAAATGTAGCATAGTCCTCTATTAAGTGAAAGCCTTGTTTAGGCATAAGTTTGAAAAATACCTTAACCCTATTTTTGGTCTGATTCTCAAAAGGAAACAGCACACTCAAAAGGTGGTGGTCAACAGGAGATTACTGAGGGAAAGTTTACAATGTATGGTCCACATTAAGGGAGTGACAAGGAATAATGAGATATCTAGGCATATTAAAGTGAGGAGCTTTTTTCCTCCAAAGTCTGAAGGGCTAAGGGAAGAGACAGCTACAGAGGAGCCAGCAGACAGGAGGTGTATCCATAACAGAGGGAAAAGAATCACTGCCAAACCAGGGCAACTAGGAAGAAGCTAGGAAAATAAACACACCAGCTTCTCTGCCCTACACTCCAGTTATTTGAATCATGTCTTATTGACCAAACACAACCAGTTGCAAAAGGCAAAGAGCCTGGTGACACCTGGTTCTGAAAACTCAGGGAAATAACACGGAATGGAGGAGAGTAAGGGGATCTGAATGTACACATTCAGAACATCCAGAACAATGACTAATGGGCAGCATTTCAGCTCAGGTTGTTGCAACAAAGTGTGAACATCAGGTCACTGCTTAAGTTTTATTTCATATTTGGTTGAGAAAAACAGTGTACTGGTTGTTACATTACAGGGGTTTTGGCTTAGTTTTATACCTATAAAATCTATATGTTATCTCTAAATTAATGCTCATGATTACAAAACACCCTGAATTTTCTTGAATCTTTCTGCTAATACAGTAACTGTCCTTAAGATATCCTTTGCTATTATTCCCCCAGAGCCTGGATTCATTAACAATTCCATGTCTGCACTGTCTGCAAAACAGCACTTCCTCAGAGGTTTGGCTAAGAATTAAACAAGATAATTAATGTAAAACATTTCTAACTCTTATTCTGGTGGTCCCTGATTTAAGTAAAGCCATCCTTTATAGTGTATTCCTTTTCTCTATTCAGCATTCAATGTTAGCACTTAAACATTTCCATATTCAAGTGGGAAACCTTCGTGTCAGTCAGGGTTCCCTCATGGTTCAGACATTAAAGAATCTGCCTGCAATGCAGGTGACACAGGTTCAGTCTCTGGGTTAGGAAGAGACCCTGGAGAAAGGAATGGCTACCAACTCCAGTATCCTTGCCTGGAGAATTCCATGTACAGAGGTTACAGTCCATGGTGTCACAAAACCTATTCAAGTGGGAAACCCATATGAGCTAGTAATAGATCAATATTAGAAGGTATAGTCACACAAAGTAATTAAATAAAGAAAACTGTAAAATCATATGCATTTTAGTCTTATCAATTTAGGAATTTTTAGCCTAATTTATTTGTGTTATTTATTCCCATTTTATTGAAATATAATTGATGTACAATATTTTATGAGTTACGAGTGTACAATATAGTGATCCATAAATGTTAAATGTTATATTCTACTTATGTG